ATTTCATTTGGCCCCATATCTTAAAGCTTCACCACTTCCCAGACTTGCCACACTGAGAACCAAACCAGCAATGTATGCACAATGAGCACATCCAAACCAAGAATGCATGCACAATGCAATGAGCACATCCAAACCAAGAATGCATGCACAATGCAATGAGCACATCCAAACCATAGCATCCTTTGCTGTTGCTAGGGTCATGACAACATTTGGGTGGCAAATCACAGTCATGTCTATCCTTGAAGTACTGGTCAAAATGAGCGGATACATATTCTTGAAAGTAGCTAAGCACCATGAACATTTATGCCATGATCTACTCCTTCTGTTGAATCATTAAATAACATATAATTCAGAATTAAATTATAAAAAATAATTTACAATTAAAATATATGTTTGCTGTATTATATCTCAACAGAAGTCCATGAGCTATTTGAGCACTGCTCTTAATTAATAGAAGAAAATTTTTCTTTTATTTTGCTTTTGTTCTTGTTTTTCAAGACAGGGTTTCTTTATGTAGCCCCAACTGTCTTGGAACTAGTTCTGTATTAGGTCAAGCTGTTTTCAAACTCAGAAGATCTACCTGCTTCTGCTTCCCAAGTGCTGGGATTAAAGGTGTATGCCACCTCTACCCAGCTAGAAAAATTTTCCTTTTCTCTTTCTTCCTTTCTTCCTTTCTTCCTTCCTTCCTTCCTTCCTTCCTTCCTTCCTTCCTTCCTTCCTTCCTTCCTTCCTTCCTTCCTTCCTTTCTTTCTTTCTTTCTTTCTTTGTTAATTTTTGTTTGTTTTTGAGACAGTGTTTCTCTGTGTAACAGCTCTGGCTGTCCTGGAACTTGCTTTGTAGACCAGGCTGGCCAGGAACTCACAGAGCTTCATTTGCTTCTGCCTCCCGAGTGCTGGGGTTAAAGGCATGCACCACCACCTCCCCAATAGAAAAATCTTCTTGACTATCTTGAATACTAGGGTAGAACTTCCTTAGTTTGCATCCTTACGTGTTCCCTTATACTTTGCTTGCTATGCATGTTCTAGGTAAGTCATTTCCCCATCATTTTCTGTGTTGATATTTTGAAATTGTTTTACTTTGAAGCCCAGGTTGGTTTGAAACTAGCAGCCCTCCCTTTCAAAATCTCCATTAGTACTGGGATTCCAGGTGTGTGCCAACATGCTCCACACCCTATAAATTTATTATTACAAAAAATGCATTGTGTTACTTGTTGGGACAAAACATCTGAGACAAAAGACGACTTAAGAAAGGCAGGGTTTGGAGCTGAAAGGGTGGCTCGGATGGTAGGCGCTGCTCTTTCAGGGTCCTTGGGTTTGATTTCCACCACCCACTTGGAGTGGCTTGCTATCACAGGTAGGTCCAGTTCCAAGAAATGCAAAGCCCTCTTCTGGAATCTACGGATACCTGTACACATGTGGTGCTTCACATATAAGCAAGCAGGTACACACACATATACATAAAATATTTTTTAATAAAACGTGAAGGAAAGGAAGGATTTCTTTGGGTTCACAGTTTGAGGGTAGTGTCTATTCTGACAGGGAAAGCCTGACGGCAAGGGCATGAGGTAGCTGATCATATTGCAGCCATAGTCGGGTCACCAAGAGAGAGAAATGCTGATGCTTGGATCACTTTCTCAGTTTGATTGACTCCGGGTAACCAGTCTGTGAAATGATGTTGCCCACACTCAGAGGATATCTTTCTAGTCTAGTAAGCCCAATTTAGAAAGTCCCTCATAGATGTACTCATAATACATAATATGTGTTTCTATGGTGACTCTAAATCCCACCCAGTTGACAAGATTATCCACAGCAAAAAGAGTGAAAGCACATCCTGGATTGGTATGAAAATTAAAGGGAAGATTTTGAGCAGTGTAGTTAGAACACTGTGAGAGCTATAAACATATACCTCTTTTAGAACCCGTTTAAAGGATGAGTACCCTAGGCATAAATCGAATGTCAGCCTGAGTGCCAGCCAAAAGACACAGAAATGGAAGCTTTAGTTCCACTTTATACTTTCCTTCCTGTCTGTAACATTAGGCTCAGACTTGACTTGTGGATCCTGAGGTTAAACCACCAACAAATTTTTTCTGGATTCTGTGTATTCATATAAATAACTAAACTACCAACAACAATAATAATACTGAATATTTACTGAACATTTGCTATTTGTTAATTATTATGGCAATCATCAAATAGGCAATTTTCTCATGTAATCTTCCAAATTTAGTAGATAATAACTATTATTTCTTCCTTTTATAGGTGAGAAAGCTAAGGCCGAATATTTAAATGACCCAATAATTACCCAAATAATTCACACTAAGGAAGTTCTCAAGGTAGGAATCAAATTCAAGCAATGGGGTATCAGAGTTCAAATCTTCATCTGACGCTTCAATGTCTTAATTGAATAAGTAAACTAAGCACACTGCCACTGTAGTTCATCCGACTCAAAAGGTGAACACATGTTCTGCCCCCTACCATCCCAGCTTAACCTCCAAATACAGTGTGTTTTTGTAATCATATAATCATGTAGAAAACGATGTTGACAGAAAGAGCTATTTGCTTCCAGAGCACTTAAGATTAGCTCCCACATTATACACAATACTAGGTTCATTAAGAAGGATTTTAACATTTCCTGCTGGAAATAGGAGGGTATCCCTCATTTAGAATGTGAAGATTCTCTCTCATTTGATTTTAGGGTTTTTCTGCCATATATGTCTGAATTTCAGTAAGAAGGTTATGTTTCTAGATTATAATAGGTATAAAACACTCTTACACACTGTGTAAGTATGTAAGCTTTTGTACCACTTAAACGAAACGTGGGTAACTAAGTTTGTGGAAAGGGGATGAAGTCCTTAGTGAACAGTGTTGTGACATAATACTGCCATGTCAAAGACCCCCACTGCATCAGTCTCTTGGGGATGACAAAGCCTTCAAGGTCAAGACAAGAGCAATGGCAAAGCATAGATTTTACACGTATTAGATTTGACAAACAACTGACCTTTTGCTAAAACCAATGTTTGCAGAAACTATCAACCACAGCTGCCTCATCCAGGATGACGGTGACCTGAACTGGTCTCTTATAAAGAGCCCCTATCAATATCAGCTGGCCTATTTTCTCCACATTCACCTGTATACATTAAACCCATCTCCTCTGTCAGCAATGGATAATAAAGGTGCCGAGTTTCTGGGCTGCTGGTTTATGTCTATCAGAGAGCATGATACACCTCACGCCAGCTTTTCTATGTGTCTGTCCCTTCTTTATTCCCTTATTCTTTATGGCCCTTTCAGGTCAAATTCAAAGCTGTGCAGATCCTGACACATGATTTTAATACCAAATTTTATGCTTCACTATTAAAATTCATGTCATTTAAAAATACAAAATATATTCTGAGAGCTTAAAAACTTTGAAGGTACTAGAGAAAATCAATTTAATAAAGAATCATCCTTTTCTGCCTTCTAACCACATAATTAACCTTGCTTTCCAGCTGTAAACTGTGTTATGCTCTCCTTTGTTTTCCAAAGTATATTAAAAAACACTTAATAAAATACACTAACACATATTTGAAATCTTCTGCCTGTATTTATAGAGCTGCAGCCATCATAGCACTGAATATTTCACATAGATAATTTATAACTTTGAGACTGATCCATATTTATCTTAATGGGTTACCTGTTTTTTTATTCTAGATACTGATTTTGTGTTATGAATACAACCAAGGTATTAAACAGTAACCTGTGCATGGCATTAGATGGCTCTCAGTTTTGCACCATTACAGGTGATGATACCCTGAGTTCCATTACATATACATCAATCCATGCATGTGAGCATATCATTCCTATGGCATAAATTCACATATGTGAAATACTTGGTCAAAAGTAGACATGTATTTACCATGTCAAACTGCTTTCAAAGAAATTTATCAAATAGAGTCACTACAGAGTATGTCTCTGCATTAGCTAATGTGGTAGGTAATTTTGGTTGTCAACTTGATACCCTTGGAGAGGGAGACCCGATTAAAGAATTGTCACCGCATCTGGGAGGCAGTCTCTGAACTGATGTAGGAGGACTGAGCTGCTGCGTGTGGGTTCTGGGATCCCTGACAGGTGGCCTGAGCTGTCTAAGAGAGGTAGCTGAATAAGTAAGTCCCAGGAGGCAAGGCAGGGAGAAACATTCCTGCATGGCTTCTGCTTGCTGCTTCAGTACAACCTCCAGTCCTGCCCTGACTTTCCACAAGGCTGAACAGTTACCTGGAAACATGAATGAAGTAATCTCTTCCCTCCACAATCTGATTTACCACAGCAACAGAAAAAAAACTAATACCTTTGTCCTTTGATAACAGGAATGTTAGCATTTACAGTTCCCCTTCAATAAGCTGCCATGTTGCATAGTCTCATAATATTGGTATATTGTTCAAGAACAAAAGTTAAAAAATTTTAAAACTCTGATAAACACAAATAATGAATGAAACTGTTTAGGTATTTCCTGAGTAAGAGAAAACAGACACCCAAAAATTTCTGAGGAATCTTTGGAGATCAATCTTTATTATCAGATATCATATCAAAATGTATCTTTAATTTTTAAAATCTCGTTGACTTAAATTTTTCATTTACATATAATTACATTTGTTATAAGTGATTTGCAAGCATCTCAAACACTTTCCATTGTCAAAGCTTTCTTAAGTAGCATTAGATGGTAGAAATCTTCTTGTAAAGTCATATTTATCACTAATTTTTTTGAGGATCTACAATGTACCCTGGTTTTCTTCAAAATGCTCTGCAATGTGTTTTGCCTAATCTTTATGATTTAATGATATTGCCCAATTTTTTGGGATTAAAAACTCTATGACTCAACATTAACTCTGTGAAAGTTATAAAAATAGAAATTCAAATACACTGCACAGAAAAAACTTAGCTACAAATACTGGTCACAAATTAGGTAGAGGGAAAACATCATTGAATGAGCAAATTAAATAGTTTAGCTACCTATGTCAAATGTCTTACCTCGAATACAGATGATAAAGATGGGACCAGAGGCTTCAAATGGCCAGATCTGTGCAGGGTTAGGAACATCAAGCAACGGAGAGTTTCCACGACGGCTGCCTGGGGACTGAAATAACGTGGCATTAATATTGTTAGCTTTACATACAGTCTCCATGTGCTTACGTGATAATTAGCACGGCAATAACATTTACTTTTGATTTTCAGGAAAGGCAAAGTCTTTTTTTTTTTTAACATAATTGAGTGGTAGGTCTCAGAAGTGCTTGAATGTAGCCTTAAACTAAGAGACAAAATGTGTCTTTTAAGAAAAACCTGTTTTTGTCAACGTATTGTTTAGTTAAAGCAGTGATGAGCTATGGCAGAACAACAAAATATTCAACCACTAGACATCTAGAATGTAAGGCATGTTCTCCTCAGTAGCCCCGTGTCCTTTGATGGCTTAGGAGGAAAACTGATACACTTAACTCATTTCAAACATGCTGTTCAACACTAAGGTTTAAAAACTAAACTATAAAGATCCATATAACATTGATATTTTATAGTAGAGGAGAAAATTCCTCTTTTGAATGAAAGAAAAAATAACAGAAGAAGTCATGCCTTGCCTTTGATCCAGAAGGACACCAATGGATGTCAAGGTCAGGATAATGGAGCAGACCCTCAGGAGCAGAGTGACTTGAGACAGAACCTGTCAAACAAACACAGGTCCATGGATCCTTCGGAGGCTATAGGAGGGATATTAGCAATGAATGCTGCCATGGAAACAGCTTGCACTTCCCAGTGTACCAACTGTCACTCTCTGCACAGAGATGGTGGATACCGAGGGCTACTTGCTTTTTCTAGTGACACTTAGTAGTAACCTTATTGGACACTTCAGAAGGGAACACATAATTTCATCATAAGCTTTTGCTTAAACTGTTATGTTTACTTGTCTATTGTAAAATTTTGACTTTTATAATTATATGAAGCATCAGAACCCCCAAACATGGATAAGTAATTCACATTTAAGAGATAAATATTACATTCTAGTACATATATTCAACATGAACAACTCATTCTGGTGTGAAATCCAAATTTTCTTTGTACAAGGAAATATATAAAGGAAAATGTGTTCATAAGAGCTGTGTTGGTTTTATTTTTTGTTTTATTCTTTTATTCTTTCATAAAAGCTAGAGTCTTCAAGAAGAGAAAACTTCGTCTGAGAAAATGTCTCCATAAGATTGGCCAGCAGTCAAGTCTATGGGGATATGTTCTTGATTAATTATTGGTGTGAGAGAACCAAGCCTGTTGGAGGTGAAACAGCATCCGGTGCAAGATACGGGAGAAAGCCCACAAGCAGTACTCCTCATGGCCTCTACTTCACTTCCTGCCCTGGTTTCCTTCAATAAACTGTGACACGGGGTATATATACGCCAGTTTAATCCTTTCCTCCCCAACATTGCTTATGGTCATAGTATTTATCAAAGTAATGGAAACCAAATTAGGACAAACATAAACCAAAACATAAGAGAAATTGTACATATACACTCACTTTTATACTTCAGGAAATCTATATATTCATATAAATATGTTTGAAGTTAACTTCTGAATTATTATACCAAAAATCCCTCTTTCAAGAAATTTAAATCATACATTTAGTTTATGTGCCAAATAACTTCCTTTCTTTTTTTCATTGACGACAGATTCTTCTCTTGTACAATACATGCCAATCACAGCCTCTCCTCCCTCCCCTTTCCCAAACCACCCTCCACTTCACCCCTCCTCTCCCCCAGATCCGTTTATTAATGGTCAGTCTTAGTCCCTGCACTGTTGGTGTTCTCTCTGAAGCTGTCTCCTGTGCCAGTGTGTTCAAGGTAGTTCTCCACTTTCTCTTCCATCAGGTTGGGTGTGTCTGGTTGTATGCTGAAGAATTTATTTCATAAGCCTCTGTGTGTGGTTTATTTGGGAGCTGGGTGGTGGGCCCCCGAAAAGAGCAAAAACAGTCAACAACATTGGAATCTCTGAATATCTTGGGTTTCTGTTGTTATAGCCCCTTTTCATTTCTGACTTTGTTAATTTGAATATTTTCTTTCTGTCTTTTAGTCTGTTTGGACTAGGGTTTGTCCATCTTGATTTTCTCAATCAATTCTTTTTTTATTGAATTTTTTTAATTGTTCTCTTTGATTCCATGTTATTGTTTCAGCCCTCAATTTGATAATTTCTTCCTGTCTAGTCCTTTTGGGTGTGCTTACTTCTTTTTGTTCTAGAAATTTCAGGTATGCTGTTAGGTTGCTAATATGAGATCTCTCCATTTTTTTTTTAATGTATACATTACATTTCTTGCTGTGAACTTTCCTCTTAGCACTGCTTTCATTTTGTCCCCTAAGTTTGGAAATGTTGTGCATTTATTTTCATTGAATTCCCAAAAATGTTTCTTTCTTTGTCTAGACCCATTTTCAGTCAATACAGAGTTGTTCAGTTTACATGAATTTGTAAGCTTTCTATTATTTGAAGAAAGTTCTGTTGAGGTGCTGAGAAGAAGGTATATTCTTTTGTGTTTGAGTGGAATATTCTGTAAATATCCATTAAGTTCATTTTGTTTATAACCTCATTTAGCTCCAGCATTTCTCTGTTTAGTATTTTTTTCCTTTTTGGTGAACTTTTCATTGGTGAGAGGTATTGAAGTCTCCCACTATCAGTGTGTGAGGGTCACTGTGTGATTTAACCTGTACTAGTGTTTCTTTTACAAACGTGGGTACCCTTGTGTTTGGGGCATAGAAATGAAATGTCATCTTGGTGAATCTTTCTTTTGATGAATATGTAGTTACCTTTCCCATTTCTTTTGATTAGTTTTTGTTTGAAGTCTATTTTGTCAGATATTAAAATGGATACACCAGCTTGCTTCTTAGGTCCATTTACTTGGAATAATTTTTTCCAACCTTTTCCCTGAGGTAATGACTATTGATTGTCAAGGTATGTTTCTTGTATTCAGCAAAAAGATGAGTCTTGGTTTTTATCCAGCCTGTTAATCTGTGTCTTTTTATTGAGGAATTAAGGCCATTGATGTTGAAAGATATAAATGAACTATGATTGTTATATTTTGTTGGTGGTGATGACAGTGGTGGTGGTAATGCTGATGGTGTATGTTTATATGTGTATGTGTGTGTGTGACAGAGAGAGAGAGAGATAGAGAGAGAGAGAGAGAGAGAGAGAGAGAGAGAGAGAGAGAGAGTTTGTGTGTGTGTGATTCCCTTCTTTTTGTTTTGCTGAAATGAGATTATTACTTTCACTGTATTTTAGTGGATGTAATTAACTTCCATGGTTTGGATTTTTCTTCTAGCATCTTCTGCAAGGCTGGATTTGGAGAAAGATATTGCTTAAGTTTGAATTCATCATCGAATATCTGAATATCTTACTTTCTCCATTTATGGTAACTGAAAGTATTGCTGTGTATAATAATCTGGGTTGGCATTTGTGGTCTCTTAGAGTCTGCAATGCATCTGTCTAAGCTCTTTCAGCTTTTAGAGTCTCCATTGAGAAGTCAGGTATAATTCTAATGTCTGTCTCTATATATCTTGCTTGATCTTCTTACTTTGCAGATCTTCATATTTTTCTTTGTTCTGTATTTTTAGTGTTTTGATTATGTGATAAAAGGACTTTCTTTTCTTTTCCAATCTATTGTGTGCTCTGTATGCTTCTTGTATAGGCATCTCTTTTTTTCAGGTTAGAAAATTTTCTTCTTTAATTTTGGTGAAAATATTTTCTAGATCCTTGGGCCGGTATTCTTCTCCTTCCTCTATTCCTATTATTCATAGGTTTGGTGTTTTCCTAGTGTCCCAGATTTCCTGGATGTTTTGTGTCAGGAATTTTGTAGGTTTAACATTTTCTTTGACCAATGTATTTATTTCTTTTACTGTATTTTCAGTGCCTAAGATTCTCTCTTCCATCTCTTACATTCTGTTAATGAAGCTTGCCTCTGTAGTTTCTATTCACAATCCTAAACTTTTCATTTTCAGGATTTTCTGAGTTGATGCTTTCTTTATTACTTCTATTTCTATTTTCTGGTCTGAACAGTTTTATTTGTTTCCTTCCTTCAAGTATCTGTGTTTTCCTTGCTTCCTTTGAGGGATTTTCCATTACCTCCAATTGTTTTTATTTTCCTGGATTTCTTTAGGGGCTTTATTCATTTCCTCTTTAAGAACATCTATCATCTTCATATAGTTGGTTTTAAGGTCTTTTCTTGTGCTTCTTCTATATTGGAATATTCAGGATCTACTGTAGTAGGGTAGCTGGACAATGATGGCGACATGTTTCTCTTGCTATTACTGTGTCCTTTATTTTAAAAATTTTCACATATATTAAATTCCAACTGCAGTTTCCCCTCCCTGAATTCCACTCAGGCCCTCCTCCACCACCTTCCCTCTCCCCCAGATCCATTCCTTCTCTGTTTCCTTTCAGAAAAGAACAGGCCTCCCAAGGATATCAATAGAAATTGGAATAACAAGTTACAATAAGGCTAGGCATATACCCATGTATCAGGCCGGATGAGGCAATCCAGTATAAGAAAAAGGGTCCTAAGAGCAGGCAAATGAGTCAGATAACCCCCACTCCCACTGTTAAAAGTCCCATAAGAAGACCAAACTACACTACAGTAACATATCCACAGAGAACGTTGAACAGACCCTTACAGGCTCTGAGACTGTCATTTCAAACTCCGTGAGCCCTACTTAGTTGATTCTTACGTTTGCCTTTAGGTATCTGGGTTTGGGGTGCTGACTTCTGTGTTTATTTTAGTGGTGTGGGAGTTTTGTTTCTCTTTCCTCTTGGGATTTTAGAGAGTGTGTTGGCTGAGTGTTCCCTGCTTAAGTGGCCTGCTTAGCTGGTGTGTTCCTGGGGAAATGTTTGCTGGTGTTGGAGGCTGGGGGAAGAGTATGTCCGGGGGAGATGATCTGAGGGATCCACAGGAAGAATGGACAGAGGAGCAGGAGAAGTTGACTCTGGTGTTGTGTGGCAATGTTAGGAGTGATCCTGCGAATTGTGTTGCAGAGGATAGGCCCAAGGTCCGCCTACCTGGTCTTCTGACAGGTGTGTCCTGTTTGAGCAGGAGGTGTCTACCCACATTGGGGGCTTGGAAATAGCAATGAGAAGGAATGGAAAGGGAGGAAATGGCAGCAGGGGATGTCTGTGGGATTACTGGAGGCTTGCACAGCAGGGAAGGGAAGCTGGCTAGTGTTCTGTTGCAGCACTAGGAGAGAGCCTGAGAACTGAATCTGGGCTTGAGAGAGTGAGGATGGCCCAAGGGCAGCCTATCTGATCTTCTACATGCCAAAATTTAGTAATAATGCTTATTGAGTATCTGTTATTTCCAGTTTCCAAATTATATGTTTCTTAACTTTGTTTCTATAATCTCAGTAACTACACAGTGTTATAGCTGATATATATATATACATACATATTCTCTGAGATTCAAAGGTAGCACAGTTTTCCCATCATAGCACAGGAAATAAATGGTTCCTGTAAAATTGAAACTAGGCCTGTTGTGCTCCAATAGTAGAATAGCAATAGTAGAGCATGCTTGATGAACAGATTAAAGGGACCGGGTAGAGCCCCTAACAACTTATATCATGTAGCCCAGGTTTAGAGCTAAATGAACCCTACTTCAGGGTGAGCGTGTGTCAGCAAATTCGAAGGGCTGGATACACAGTCCTA